CCTCTCTCTCCCCCTCTTTCTCTCTTCTCTTTCTCCCCCCGTCCCCCGCCCCCTCCCCCTAGGCCTGATGAGCAGGTCTCGCGCGTCCATCCATCGGGGGAGCATCCCCGCGATGTCCTATGCCCCCTTCAGAGGTATGGTGGTGAGGGGAGGGGCAGGGCGGAGGAGGGGGCAGAGCTGGGGCCAGGAGGGAGAGAGGAGGCCTGGGAAGCCAGGGATGGGAGCAATGGGGAAGGAGGGATTGGAGGCTAGAGGATAGGGGTAGGTAGGGACCGGAGGGCCAGGAAACAGGCCTTGAAGGGGGCTGAGGTGAAAATGATGAAGGGGAAAGAGATCGCCAGAAAGGGTGGGAAGATAGGATAGGGTTGGGGGGAAGAGCTGCAGAAATAATTTGGAGGTGGGAGCTGAGAGATGAGGAAAATATCAAGGAAACAGAAGGACCGAGTCAGGAGAGGGGCTAGGAGGGAGAAATGAAAACGGGTGAAAAGAGAAGCAGTAGAATATGGTTGGGGGGCTCAGAGAATGGTAGGGGGTAGAAAAAGAGGATGGAGGGAGAGAAGAAGGGGCCAGATGGAGAGAGAGGGAGGCAGTGGGGGATGGTGGTGGAGGGTCCAGATGGAGGGAAGAGAGGAGAGGGAATGGGTTGGGGGAGGAGAGACCAGGGCAGGGGGAGGGCCAAATATGTGTGTGTTTGTTGGTGGGGGGGAGGACAATACAAGTAAGATTGAGTGATGGGAGTGGGGAGGCAGATTAGACTGCCCCAGACTCTGACCCTCATTAAGGCCCTTAACCAGTGTAATATAACCCCTGGGGTCTTACCTGCTTCATTCACTTCACCACTTTTACCCCCTCCCCCACCTCCAATCCTTATTTCCATCCCCCCTCCCTCCTCTGGTGTCCATCACCTATATCTTTCCCCCCATATGGTGTCCGTTCCTTATATGAGTCCCCCTTTTGTCCTTCCCCTATATCAGTCCCTTCCCTGGTGTCCATTCTCTCTTTCCCTCTCTTCTACCTGGTAGCTCCTATAGCTCTACTACCTCTCCACCCGCTCCTTCTTGACCCCCTTGTCCTAGTACTCCTATTATTAGTTCTACTTCATTTCCTCTGCCCCATGTCCAGTTGGGCCCTTCTGGTATATTCCCTTGTCCCTAGGGGTTTGCCATCATTTCTGCCTCCTCTTCTAGATCCATCCCTGTTATTTGTTCCCCAGCCCATCCTCTATTCCCTATCCCATTCCCCATCTTGTCGCCACAAGCCTTTGGGTACCCAATTTCCCCTAGTACCCCAGCTTTTATCACCCATTCCTCTTTTATTGTATGTTGGACATTTGGGGTGCAAAGACTCAGGTTGTGATGGTTGGATCAGGGCCTACAAGAGATCCGCATCTGAGCCCTGTGGGATTTCTAATCCTAGTAAATCTTTCCCCTTTCTTCAGCTGTGTTTCTCTGTCCCTTGCATCTGCCTCCCAGCATTATCCTTACTTAAGTCCAGACAGTGTGTGTGTGTGTGTGTGTGTGTGTGTGTGTGTGTGTGTGTGTGTGTGTCCAGAGTTGCTCCTAAGTTAAGTTCCTTGTGTGCTTCCCTGCTCCCAGGAAGAAAGTACCCCCTGAAGCCTAACCTGCCTCCCAGTGGCTGCAGCCTGAAGCAGTCCCTCCCATAATGATTATGTGTATCAGCAGATTTCTCCTCTGGGGGTCCTCAGAGTCTGAGTGCAGTGGGCATGTTGCCTGCAGTGTCTGCACTCTCAGAGCCTTGATGATCTTTGTATCTAGAAGGTATTTGTTAGAGTCTCTGAGATGGCATTGAGATAGTGAGAGTTTCAAAGTAAAGGGGTTTCTAGGTATCTATATTCTGGGAATTTATCTCTGATTCTGATCTGCAGATTGGATAAATTTGAAGCACATGTTTGTAGACAGAAAGGCTAGAGTTTTCAAAACTGTACTCAGGGCATTCAGTTGGAAAGAAGCTCATAGACCAGTTCCTTTCGTGCAATATTCCCATGATTAATTATTCTGTAAAGGTGACAGAATTTGATGTTTCTTTCTCTAAACTCTCACACTTTGATATCTTAAGCCTCTTTTCTATCACTTTGATGTCACCAATTTGATTTCTCTCTTACTTCCATAGGGTCTGTCCCCCGTGTCCCTGTGATGGTTTGTGGCATTGGGTTTTAAAGGAGAGGCAGTTTGCAGGGATGGGGTCACCAGAAGAAGAACAGCAAAGTTGGGAAAGGGTGACACTGGGGGCATCTCTGAGCATGGGCAACCCTTGGCTTGTTGTTCTTTTCTAGAAGTTTTGTCCCCATGTCCAGCTGTGATCTTTGGAGGCCCCCTCTGTGTCACAGGCCTGGATCTTCCATTCTTCCCTCCCCTCTTCCTCCCTCAAACTCCTCACTGCCTTGGGAAGGTTCCAAACCCAAGGAGACTAGGTGGGTGGGGGCAGTATTGAATCTTTGATCTCTGAGCATGGAGTAGGGGAAGAGATCCATTCAGCTCTATTCATCAAACAAGGGCATCTTTCCCTCCTCATTCCCAGTCTCTCCACAGTCAGATGCTGACAAGACCCATTCTCCCCCTACCACGAGAAGAATCAAAACTTTCCCCAAGGGAGGAGCAGGGTTAGGCTAGGAGAGGAGGGAGCAGAGGATAGAAGAGCGGTGGGAGGGGAGGCCAGCTCATGTCTGTGGCTCCCTCATTCCTCTCTTTTCCAAATGTTTAGCTCTCAGAATCTCATGACCCAAATGTTCCTACACCCCCAACTCATTCTTTCCCATAG